CTAGAAAGGCTGGTTATCATTCATTCATATGTTTTTAAAAGATATATATGTTTATTTTCATGGGCGCATACTGAGAGCTGTTTAGCATGCTGCATTTTTCCTGCATGGAGATAGATAATCAACCCACTGCACATATTGGCTTCCTGACCTGTGTGCTTCTGGCAAAATAGATACTGTTGAATTCCATTTAGAAGTGCCAACTATTCCTCCACTCCCCACCCCAATACAGTGGAGAGATAATTTCTATGTAGGAAGAACATCAAGTGTGAAAGTCCTGGAGAGAGAAAAAGAGTGCAAGTTGATGAGGCTGGGTACAGCAATGACAGTCGGAAAAACCTGTCATTCATCACTGGTGGACAGATAATGATTGACCAGCCAAAGTTTCTGTGCAGAAATCCACATGACAGGTTCTGGCCTAAGGCTAAACAAGGAAGGACGCATCATTCTCTTGCCTCCTCCAGTCCCGCTACCCTCCATGTCTTTCACACCAATGAATAATGCATGAATGCCTCTTTGGCGCAAGGTATCACCTTCCCTTAGACACAGATAAGTAAAAGCTGGAGTAACTTTTAGAAGCCATTCTGAGTGTACAGGGCTCTGTTAAGCAGCTGGAATATTGCAATGCCACTGAAGAACTGAAACATCAAGTATGCTTTCAAAGCAAATTGAATGCAGCCCCAGATCAATGACACTTAGGACACTGTGTGGGATAGCTGCATTTAGGATCTTCCACTTCTCCCGGTAGGCAGATCATCCTATGTCTGCTAGTCAAAAGGCAAGGATGCTTCCAGATGAGGCTTTTAACATGTCATCACATTGCCTCATTCACAGAATTTTACAGGAGGATTAAATGTGGTTGCTTTCCAGTCATACCCCTCTTGTGTTTTTTCACTCCTTCTGTGTGTGTGTGTGTGTGTGTGTGTGTGTGTAAAAGTAAAATAGCACTGTAGCAGAGGATGAAAGCAAGGGACTCTCTAAATCATGTTTCCCTTCTCTCTGGGTCAGCTTGCACTTCTGCTCTGGATAACAGACCGCTAAGGACTCTGCCAAATGGGCTAGATGCCCTGGCAACCCTTTAGGTGTAATACGGACTCTACCAATAATCCTGACAATGGCATCAGGCGAGGAACGTGTGCAGCAGTTTGCTTCCTGGAGTGCTATTATAGGAGCGATAGTTTTGGAATTCTGAAAGGTGTCATTAAGATAGGAAATCAATACACCAGGTTCTGTTCTGTTTCATTTGTTTAAAAATCCTGGAAAAACCCTTCTGCATTAGTGTGCTCATATGCCCAAAAGTTTTACTCCACTACAGTGCCAACTGAAGTCAAATACAACACTCTTGCTGCCTCCTTTTGCTTTCACTGTAACCCTCTTGGGATTCTGTATTTCTGCAAAGAAAGTTGAACTTTTATAATCGAGCAAATTGCGCTGTTCTTCCAAGGAGATGCTTCTGTGGGTTTACTTTAGCTCCAGACTCTTAAACCCCTTTGGAATCCAGAAACCAGGCACAGGATCTGGCACAATCTTTCCCTCCCTGTCCCCCAAGAGCTTTGCCTTAGTATTTTTAAATTTTTTAGTTTTTTAGTTTTAATGCCAAGTTTTGTATTGATTTTGTAATACAACCCTTGTGTTAAGTGGCAATGTTGCATAGCAGAACCAAATGCACCTTGCATGTGCATTGACCTCTTCAGCTGCATGTTTAACAACACCACAGGCACAGCTCTGTTTCTGCCATTATGAACTAAATGCATACATTCCTTATGAAGTATGATTGAGGGAGCTGGGTATGTTTAGCTTGGAGAAAACAAGACTGGGAGGTAACATGATAGCCATCTTCAAATATTTGAAAGGATGCAAACTAGAAGACAGAGTGAGCTTGTTTTCTGCTGCTCCAGAGACTAGATCATGAAACAATGGATACGAATTACAATAAAAGAGATTCCAAGGTAACATTAGGAAGATCTCTTTGACCAGGGGTAGGCAACCTTTTTGAGCCGGGGGCCGGGTTGCTGTCCCTCAGACAATTGGGGGGCCGAAGCACCATAAAATAAATAAATAAATAAATAATATGCATGCACACTCTCTTAGCCCCAGAAAAGCCATGGCTGTTCTAACCATGTTAAAGTATGTTATAAAATAAAATATTTAAAATATTTAAAATAAAGTACCATGAATTACCATATGTAAAGGTATAATAAAAAGATCCCTAGTTTTATCCAGACAGTCAATGTGGTGTAGTGACCTGAGTGTTGGACTACAGCTCTGGAGATCAGGATTTGATTCTCCGCTTGGCCGTAGAAATTGATTGGATGACCTAGGGTGAGTCACACACTCTCAGCCCCAGAAAATTCCATTGGAAATGACTTGAAGGCATACAACAAGCCTTATCCAGTTACATACATGTCTCCCACTGGATTAATTTCCCCCGATTTGTGTAATTTTGAATGCTTCTGTAAAAGGTTGCTGATATTGGCTTTCAAAAGTTCAGGAAGCGTTGAGTTGCCAACAACAACAAAACAGTGAATTTGGAAGGTACTCATTAGGTAAATAAATAATATAAGCAGAATTAAGGATAGTCAGTGACATCCCTTTGCTGTTGAATGTAAGTTCATGTGAGAAAAGGAGGAGGAAGAGGAAGAAGAGGAGGAGAGTGAATACTTTTGTATATCTAAAGCTATCACTCAAATAAAGTAATCTTTGTTCTTTGATTATATCAATTTGTCTAACAATATATAAATTGATTAAATTTACATTCATTGCCAAGCTTGTAAAGTAAAAGGTAGTAAAAGGAGACATATTCTGTTGTTTTATTTCCAGATTACACATGAATTTGTCAGAACCATGATGGAACCAATGAGATTAGAGATGAGCATGTTGGATTGGGAGCTGAGAGATCTGGAGTATAGCTACTGCAGGATCACATTATTTTGATCCCACTTGAACTGTTATGGCTCCATCCTATGGATTCCTGGGATCTGTAGTCTGGTGGGGAGACTTGGAATTCTCTAGTTGTTGCCTTGAACTACAACCCTCAAGAAAGAATTCCAAGTGCCTCCTCCCCAAACTATAAATCCCAGAATTCAATGGGAAGGACTCATAGCCATTAAAGGGGAATCAAAGTGTGCACTCCCACATTCTAGTCTCTACTGAACCTTGAAACTAACTAGGTGACCTTGGGCTAGTCACTTTCTATCAGCCTGACCGACCTTACAGGATTGTTGTGAGGATGGATTATTGAGAAGGACAGATATGTACATTACCCTGAAGGTGAGATATAAATGCAATAATAACTTGCCTCCTTTGCAAAAGAAAATGGGAAATACTCATTTAAGATAGTCCATGCTGTTTGATTAATCAGAATTGCCCTTTTAGCTAATAAAATATTTTTATTTATTAATCTGATTAATCAATTATAGATTTCAGCGTTAGTTTTTGTAGACACGGTAAATAAGAACTTGGTAAGGAACTTACTGCTTTTTAGACTTTTTTTTTAAAAAAGTGAACATAACTAGTAGAATTCTAACTTTCTTCAAGAACTAGATGTTAGTTTCTTTCAAGCACTGATCCAGGACTTAAATTCTCTTCTTCCATTTTGGGAAGATTTGTGTTTGATTTTAGAAGACAGATCCAGAGGTAGCCCAACATCTAGAACTAATAGTAGAATTAAAGCCATTGTCTTAAGATGCAGACACCACATTGGATTCAATACATCATATTTTATGGCAAGTATGTGCCTTTTCCAAATGGTGTTAAGAGTTTGCAAAATACACATCTAATTTTTGCAATGTGAGAGGTATATGAAGCTCTTCCTGAGTGTAATTTAGTTAGACTTTCATCTGTTCTGATTACTGTGCAGTTGTGCAGAAAACAGTTTTTAATATAATACTGGAACTGGCTTTGTTATCATCAGAAGCTGCCTTATGCCACATCAGATCATTGCTCAGATCATCTGGCTCAGTGTTATCATGTGGCAACAGACCGCCAGGGTTTCAGAGAAAGTATTTTCTCAAGGACTGAACCTGTGACATCTCGCATGCTGAAATAATTCTCCATTTCAGGGCCAAGTGAGGCTCTTTTGTTTTTTTTAAATTGCTGTCGTGACTTTTCATCCAACTGGCTCTGATTTTATGTGGCTTTTAACATCTGCCTCTGCTTAATAATATTCTACTGTTTGGATATTTTTTAATATTGATGCCTGTTATTTTAATTGATTATTTGGTGCTCCAGCGTTGAGGAGCAGGATAAAAATATATCATATAAATCATGTGAACATCTTGGGTTCTTTTAATGCAGAAAACATTTTCCAAACAGAGTTGAGTCAGATGCACAAAATGATTATCTAAGGGGGTAAATACATGAGCACACTGAGCATTTGACTGGATTCTATATTATTTGTGCTCTGCAGCTATCCCTTGCACTGTCTGACTATCTAGCCAAAACACACATGTGTAATACACACACACACATACATTGAATGTGTTTCCTTATTTTTTTTCTATATTCTCTGTATGTAACTCAGTTGATGAAAAGCACCCAGATCTATAAATGCTTAATCCATATATGTGAGTGTGTCTTCTTTACAACATCGCAACCAGACTTTTTGTTTTATATTTGTTGTTTCTACAATAGACGGACATCACTGCCTTCAGAAGCCAAAATCACTATGCAGTTGTGTCACACACATTTTATGATAATACTTTCTAATATGCATTTTGGCTGTGGGGAGGAATCCAGTTGCCTCTCTGCTACAAAATTGCTACTTTAAATAAAAAGCAGTATCTCTCACTGTAAAGTCCAGTGAGAATTTTAGGTAAAAACTGGATGAGCATGTGTATCTTGCATAAAAAAAACCAAGTACAGTACTCTTGATTATTTGTTGTTGTGTGCCTTCCAGCCATTTCTAACTTATGGTGAGAACCTATCACAGAGTGGGGTTTGTTACTGCCATCCTCTGAGGCTGAAAGAGTGTGACTTGCCCAATGTCACACAGTGGGTTTCCATGGCTGAATGGGGATTTGAACCCTGGTCTCTAGAGTCATAATCCAATGCTCATACCATTGTACCATGCTGGCTTCTCATGATATAAACATGTCAAGAATTATTTATGCAGCCCAGTCCTATAAATGGAACAAAGTAGTCATAAAGGTACATCAAATTGCAATCAAGTAACAGAATGCTAACCTTAGGGACGCTGCTTCCTTAGTAAATATGCTTAGGGCTGCAGGAGTAATAGCAAAATGCCAACATAGGTGACGTGACCCTATCTGTTGGGTTATTTATTTCAAAATAGCACTTTGCAAAAGCTTCTTGCATACAGCTCTTTGCTTTGAAGTATCTGTGAGACCAGGGCCTCATTCCCACTTACAAATAAATCAGTTGTAACCTGAATCGATGGATCAGTTTGACAGCAAAGTGTGGTTCACACTTTGCCCCAATCGCATTTTCTTGTTATAAAATAACCCACTTGTCACTCATATTGACTACTGAATTGATTCAAAATGGACCCTCTTCACCGGGTTGCTGATCATGTCATAGGAAATCGATTCCGATCTGCGTCTTGTTCACTCTCGTGCTGAATCGATTTATTGCAAAAGACACAGGGAAAAGTGAGAGTCAAAAGGACGCATGTTAAAGGGGTCTAGCACAGGAGTCCACACTTCAGCGATTTGGCTCAAGTGCGAACAAGAGTCATTTAAACCACTTTAAACTGGTTAGCAAACTGGTTTATAACGTAGTAGGAATGAGGCCCAGGTTTTCAATGGCTGTGAAGCTTCAGGCATGTATTCAGAGTGGCGACAGCACCGTATCTCTTTGGTACATGCCAGGGGGTGCCAAGATGTTTATTCCCATGAAAGAGTGCCATCTGTTGGCTCCCCAACACTAATTCTTATTATGTTTTACACTGTTGCCAGTTGCAGCACAGAAATGAGGGTTCAGTCAGGTTTTTAAAAACTGGGCTGGTTGAGAGAGAGACACACAACACAAGGGGAGTGCAAGAACGAGGCAGCACTACAAAAGTGACTTCTTAAATATTGCAACACCAAATGCTCCTACGTCCTTTTTATCTCTTCATTAGTATGTTCACCATGTCTTTAGAAGAGATAGCAGCTGGGGGGGAAGTTCTAGAGAAGGGCAATGAAAAGCTTTGGTGACATGAAAAGATACCATAGAAGGAGAGATTAAAATGTGGGGGCTAGGAAACGGGCAGGAGGGAGGATGATAGAAGAATACAAAGTAAGAAAGGAGATAAAGAAGGCCAATCAGACATTCCAGTTTACCTTCCCCATCGCAGAAGGATTCAAAGGTGTCCCGGCAGGTGTCCATTCATGTATTACCTACTGAGAGATGGGGAGAATAATAATGAGCCGAGTCATGCATGTTCCAAATGTACAGTACTGTGATGGAGCATTAGTACCAGGAGAAATCTGATCCCTCAAGGTCTGGCTGCTTGTAATCGGAGGCAAAGACACTGCAGACATATTTTTATTATTTATTTATTGAAAGTATATTCCACTTTTCTCCCAAATGGGATTCATGAGCATAGCAGTGGAGGACCATATATTTTGTTTATCTTTGGGGTATTTTTCTATTCTTTTGCTCACACCAATAGCACAATTTTTTTTTCTTATAACATAGAACAGTTTTGTTTTCTGTATTTCAGAGATAGTTGTATTAGAACTTCCTAGCAGATTTTCCCAGCTGAGCTTACACAAAATACAGAATGACTTGTAATGCATCAAATGTGTGCATGGGATACTTTACAAATAGGAATGGGCTTGCCCTCAGAAGAGTTCCCTAGCGAAATGCATTTCATCAGTTTTGGGTACAGCATGGTACTGCTGAAAGCAAGCAGAAAGGGAATGGTTTATTCCTTTGCATACTTATTGAAGAGTAAGAGGTCCTACTAAATTCAGAAAAATTATTTCTGAAAGATATTTAGGATAAGGGTATGATGATAGAAAAACAATGATATTTGTCTCTTTAAACCAGGGGTGGGCAAACTGTCCCCTTTAAGGGCTGAGGGACTTCAGCTCCCAGAAGCCTCAGCCATGTTGGCCAATAGTTGGGATGTTGGCCAATAGTCTGGGATTCTGGGAGCTGAAGTCCCTCAGCCCTTAAAGGGGACAGTTTGCCTACCCCTGCTTTAAACAAATATCAAATATTCCAAAAGAAAGACAAGGAAGTATTTTATTTTGAGATGCCTTGCACTTCAGTGATTAGAATCACAGAATCATAGACTCTCCAAGTTAGAAGGGACCACAAGGGCCACAACTTGAGCACCCCTGGAAGATGCCCATCCAGCCTCTGTTTAAAGACTTTCAAAGATGAAGAGTCCACCTTCATCTGAGGCAGTCTATTTCACTGCTGAACAGCTTTTGCAGTAAAAATGTTCTTAATGTTTTGGTGGAACTTTTTCCCCTAGTAGCTTGAATCCGTTGGTTTGTGTTCTAGTTCCTGGAACAGCAGAAACAAGCTCGCTCTATCTTCTACTTGACATCCCTTCAGGTATCTCATGATGGCTATCATGTCACCTCTCAGTTTTCTCTTGTCCAAACTAAACATACCCAGTTTCCTAAGTCATTTCTCATAAAGGATGATTCTTTAAAGAAAGAATGACTAAAAGAGTGTGATCCAGTATTTCCCCAAAATGCTTCCAGCATTTGAAGTCAGCATTTTGCATCAGAAATATTCTCAATGAATTCTGTATCAGAGCTATTCTGATCAAGTCAGCATCAGAATTATTATAGCTGCATACCACACTAAACTGTTATAGCACTATTATTCTACTTTAATTGCTATGGCTGCCTCCTGTGGAATCCTGGGATTTGCAGTTTAGGGCAGGGGTAGGCAACTTTTCCCCTTTAAGGGACGAGGGACTTCAGCTCCCAGAAGCCTCAGCCATGTTGGCCAATAGTCCCATGTTGGCCAATGGCTCCTGGGATTCTGGGAGCTGAAGTCCTTCCGCCCTTAAAGGGGAAAGGTTGCCTACCCCTGGTTTAGGGAGACAAAGAGTGAGTATGGCATGACTGCATGGATCATGATTGCATGGGACTTTGCCTTATGCAAGGGACCACAGAAGAGGACTTACTTTAAAAGAAGTTGACTGGGCAGGATATATGCTTGTCTTGACCAGTGTTCAATGTTGTTCATCACATCATTTACAACAACCAGCTACAGTGAATTTAGTGCTCATTTAAAAAATAAATAAATAAATAAATAAATAAATCGTTTTTTCATACATGGTTATAATTGATTTTCCTTATCAATGTGATTTTAGAGCATTCCTTGCTGGAATGCTGTTCAGGTGTTTCCTTTGCAAGCATCTCTTCCTTTGAGGAAGTAACTTTGGCAATTATTTCTGCAGGTTAGTGGGCAGAACTAGCCAGGCATTGGTTAAAGATAAAAACAGAGTTTTTTGGCCTAGCAGAGAATTAGAATTTCATTAGTACTACATGGGAGGTGTGCGCCTCTGTGTGTGCAATGCATGTACACTTATTCACATTGTATGCACACACACATGCACATGCATTCTAAGAGCCAGGAGGTAGATGGTTTTTAAGGAATTCTGGATGTTGGTCATTTCTAAAATAGTCTTTCTTATAATATACAGTGCAGCTCTTCTTGTATAAATTCTTTCCTTCCTCATTTGTTAAATTTAATCAAGAAGCTTTTGAACTCTGTTGAAATGAGTTTCCCTTGAGAACTCTAAGTACAATTAAGATGAGAGGGTCAGGTGGATAGATCAACTGCTTGATCTGCTTAAATATATTTTGCAGGCTTGTGTGAGCAGGAGAAGAAGGCAAAAAGAGAAGGATCAGCTAAGGGAGCATTTTACAGTAAGTGATGAACAATGCAATAATTGCCTTGCTAAATCAGGATCAGTGCTTTGTTTCTATCCGTGAGAAGTGAATGCATGTAGGGGTGCATCTACACTGCAGAAAGAATGCAGTTTGACACCACTTTAATTGCAATTCCTCACCCTACAGAATAATGTAGATTTGTAGTTTTGTGATGCTCCAGCACTCTCTGGCAGAGATGGCTAAGGACCTTGCAAGCTACAAATCCCAGGATTCCATAGGATGGAGCTACAACACTTAAAGTTCTGTCAAACTGCATTATTTCTACAGTGTACATGCTCCCTAGAAGTCTCACAGTCAGAACACTAAGAAGCTATCCTATTTCCTTGCTTTACTGCAATCCTTGATTTGGAGGTATGCACCCTCTGAACCTGGACGCTCCACTTAGATCTCAGGGCATTTGCAACTGGGATGTGAAGAATATTTGAAAAATAGTCCAAAACCATTTCTTGAGTGTTAGAAACCCTGATGAGAAGAATTCTGGACTGGTGAGAATCTTCACAGTTCAGGACTTATTCTATACAAAATTTGTATGCTTTGCACAGAAAAAAAAAAATTGGGGATTTATTCTGTGCAAAATTCACTTGTGGTTACTTTGCAAAGAAAACACAATTTTCTGCATAAATAAAATATAAAAAATAAAAATATGGTTCCTGCACAGAAAAATGTTGTTTTGTATGGGGGGGGGGGGAGCATGCATATTTCCCATAAAATAAACCTTACTATGTAGACTTTCAGTTTTCAAATACTTTCTTGCAGTGAAAAGAAACATGCTAAAAAAATTATTGTTCCCTTCAAAGAGAAAATTAATGAAGAATTATATCCTCCTCCCCCTCCCCACAACCCTCTATGAACCTTTAAAGTCCTTCCCTGAAGCCATATAGCAGGAGTGGGGAGCCTTAGCCTGAAGAGTCCAATCTGGCTCTTCTGGGTGCCAAATCTGGTCCTCTTGTCTTCCATTTACCCCCTGACCTCATCATTTGGTGGTCCCTCAGGCTTTGTATGGGTCTTTTTTCATTCAAAGAGGTTGAAATGCCTCTTACTAAGCATTGAGTAATAATATTCTGGAATTATTGATCTTGCCCACTTCTTCTTCTTCTTCTTCTTCTTCTTGCCAGACAAAATTATTTTATTTTATTTATTTATTGGATTTATATCCTGTTTTTCTCCCAAAATGAGATTCAAGGTGGCTTATAATAAATTATTCCTAATGT